TGGTTTTTTTAGTGGTTGGGGTTTTTTTGGTGTTTTTTTTTTTTTGTTTTGTTTTGTTTAGGAAAAAACCCTACATTTCTAGAACTCTGCCAGTTCTAGTTTGTGGCATTCAGATTAATGGCACAAATGTGTGGGGAATGTGCAGATTTCAGTTTTTCGGGAAGGGGAGTTTGTTTCAGGGTTAAAATTCAGATAAAAGGAAAACATGAAAATTTAGGTGTTAAATCAGAAATACAGAAGGAGAACTGAAACAACACCACCAAAGTAACGTGGTAGAAATACATACATTTAAAATGTAACAAAGGAGAACATCACAATAAAAGAAAACATAAAGGTGAGAAACCAGGAAAATATGTTTCTGTATAAATGCCAATGTACTTAAAAAGGTGGATATTTCTGCTTCCTTTTATTCTAATATTGCTTCTCTTTTTGTCAAAAGAGAAGTTCTTGGTTGACGCATTTCACTAGCAGTTTTTATTGTGTATATGAGTATGTGTGTGGTATTAGTTTTCCACTGTGCTATCCACTACTGAGAGACTCTTTATTTTTCTTTGCATAATAAAGTGCATAATAGCCTGGATTAGGTAAATTGTAGGTGATAACAGATTGGAAAGAAGTGAATGATGAAGACATAGGATACCACATGTGTATTAGTTTCATATGAATTATTTCTTGTGAACCTGATGAAAGTAGGTTGGAAGAACAAGGATGCAATGAATGAACTTTGTGTGAAAGACTTCAATAAATGGCTAATGGTTTAAGATAAAGATAATCTGTGAGAGTTAATGTTCAGGTTTGATTCATTTTTTTTAAAGCATATCTAATACAAAGTCTGTGGTTTTTGCAAGGTATGAAGTGAGAGATTTCTTGTCTGCAGAACATAAATAGAAATACAAATTAATTCTTTACAGAGCTGCACTTTTTTAAAGTCAAATATGTTTGATAAATATGCTGTAGATTAAAAAAACCCATTCATTTTGATCTGGAAAAGTGAAAACCATGATATTCAAAAATCTTGTAGCCATTTTATCAGAGGAACAAGAGAATACAAATGTGTCAGATCTTAAGATGTTAACACAGGTGGACAGTTGCACTTAATTTTTGCAGTGCTCAAGTTCTCTGATATTCAGATGTTATTTTTGTGCTTATACCCAAAATTATGATGGCATGCTTTTAAAAATAGGTACATTTGAGCCAAGCTGTGGTTATACTCCATGAAAGAGGCTGTAAATTTCATTCTTATTTTGAAGGTAGCACGTTCTAGCTAGTGTGAACAGGGTATTGTAGCCATGTAATCTGCTCCCAGAGATGATGTCCGATTAGCCTTTAGCAGGATTCATCCAGTTATAAAGGATGGAGATAACCCAAATAGTTAGGTGCTACGTAGACTGAGAAGGTAGACACTCTTGCATTTGATCAAGTGTTATGATTCTTAGGTTGACTGGGATTTGTTATCAAACATCTGCTCCTCCCCAGAGTAGAAATTGGATCTGTGCATGAATGGTCTTCTCGTGTTGAAATCTCAGCTACTGTTGGTCTAAAGAGCACCGAAAAAGCTTGCTTTTGTGATAAGAAGGAAGCTCTTTGTATTAGGTTTTTAACAGTTAGTTGGTGGCATTCTTTCTGCGGGAGGTAGATGTTTCAGAACAATTACCTGATGAAATAATTGTTTCAGAATTTTAAGGTGAACCTCCCTGAGCCTCTTAAGGGCAGCTCTTAAGAGATCTGAAAATCGACAGATTTTTAGTTTTCTTTCTCTGTTTATACCATAGTGCCATCTTATTTATAGAGCCTATTTTTCTTAGGTAGGTAGAAGTGTTCATGGGTTGTTTGCTGTCATGAGTAGTAGTACCACATATATTAGACCCGATTTTATCAGACTGGTTTAGTGTATCCCTGACTTTAAGCATTTGAGTAATCCTGTTAATGCATCCAGGCTTTCTTGAAGCTGATGGGGTTTTCTCATGGGTTGACTGCAGCAGTGCTTGAACATTTAGGAGAACTTGCATCAATTTCATTGTTTCCTCTTGTTATTCACTTGGCTTTGTCCTTGCTGGATAAGTACTTTGTTTCCAGTTTCATTAAAAACAAACAAGCAAAAAAACCTAAACCAAAACAACACAAACAACCTCCCCCCCCCCCCAAGCCAAACAAACAAAAAACACTTTAAAAGAACAAATGGGGGGAGAGAAAAAACTTATACTGTTATAAGTTAAAATGGGACTGTAAAGAGAACAGAAACTAGATAGAATTTTTAACTCATGTTATAAATGTAAAAAGTTCAGTGTTTGAACTATCAACACGTTTGGAGTATCATCTTGGATCTGATTCCTTCATAGCAAAATGTACTGAAAAAATAGCATGGATTTTAGTTGGGTAAGAAGTTTGTTAACTTAATTTGGGTAAGAAGTTCGTTAACTTAATTTGGGGTGGGAAGTGATGGGAGTCATAACTGGAATCTTTACCAGTAAAAACGGTAATATGTGATTCAAAATATGTGATTGAGTTGAAATAATAGTAAGTACATTGGTTTGTTTTACAGGATCTGTTTTCAATCAATGCTTATGTTTATGCTCAGAAGCCACAGCTGGATATTCACAGTTTTGAGGGTACCTTCACACGGGTAAGTAAAGTATATAAATACAGTTCTACTTCTGTCTTCCATTTTTCAATGTAAGTGAAACATATACTTACTGTCAAAGTTGTACCAGATCTTTTTTTTTTCCCAGCTTTAATGCTATTCACATATTCAAACCAAACATGATAATAACAATGTAGTAATTTCTGTGACATTTTTCTGTTATTTTCAAAAGGTGGCCTGCTGAAATTAACCCTTTAATGTAGGTTGTCTTAGGAGGTAGTAATTTTTTTTCTTATCTCTTTACAGATTTGTAGCTTTAGATTAGCAGATAACAGTGATTGTTTTGTTTATTTTAGCCAAACTCGGTGTTAGTAGACTCATTCCCCTTGATAGTTTGTTTCTAAAATAATTTGAGAGAATTAAGTACTGTGGAGGTATAGAAGGGTTGTTTTGTTTTGGTTTTTTTACCCAGGTGACTCAAATTGGTAATGGATTTTGTTTAGTAATTGGAATTCGAGTTCACAGTTCTAAATACACTGATGAATGAGATATTGCAGTTGTTGGCTCTCGAAGACCAATTTATACTAGTTATATAGTTCACTTTGCCTATAAAGTAGATGTCATTTGCCCACGCCTTCTAAAGCTGTAAGCAACAATGTTTGTTTAAACCTTGTATTGAACAATTGTCCAAATAAAACTTCTGTTAGCAGCTGTAAAACTCATGTTATTCCTGTCCCAGTGGCTAAGTGTATACTTTTCTAAATACAAATTGAACTCCTCAGAGCCTTTTTAACAACTCTGGTACATGTAATTGAGACATTGGGAAATCATCACTAAGCAGTTGCTCCCTGTAGTGAGTTCTGTTTCTACATGTAATAAGAGGTGTATGATTCAAGCCTCCCTGATACGTGTAAGTAAGCCTGATGGATTTTATGCTATCAGGTCTGCATAGGTAGTGCTTTAGCCAACAGAAACTGCCCTCCCTTCCAGTTTCAGTAGGAAGGGCAGTTTAAACTGCACTTGTGTGTGCATGCATCTGAGGGCAGTGCCCTCAGATTTCATTCACATGGATGACACTGTAGATATTTTTAGAAATTGTTTTTCTTTTGTTAACTGTGTACTTTCTGCATAGTGAAATGTTGGTTTAGGCTGCTTGTTTACTGATATAGTTCTCTGCTGCTGCTTTGAGCTCTTGCTTTGTACACTAAATCAGTTTTTGCATCTAATTTCTATTTTATGTTAAAGTAAAAAAAAATTAGTGTGCTTAGTGATGCTAATGCATACATTTTTCCTACTTAAGCGTTGATGTTCAAAGAATTCTTGCAAGGGTAGGTTGACAGGGTAATAGCACATTGATTTTTCTTTTCTTTTTTTCCCCCCATTATGAAGACAGAGTACTAACAATGTAGAAGACAAACTTAGATCATTTCAAAAAGTGCATGACCATAAAACAAAACAGAAACTTAGGTGCATTGCTCTGGAGTTTTTATGAGGGAACAACTTCTTTTAAGTACTTCTGCCTGAGAAATATATCCACAACAAACCTGATAGATGACAGAAGATACTTTTTGCAGTACACCTGCATAACCATGTCAGGAAGAGTTAAAGCTCTGCTGTACTCCATTCATATCTGCCAGCTTCATAGGAAGTCGTTTTGTGTTGTTCTTCGTGGATTTTGGCGTGTTACGTGTAGTCAGTGCGTGAAAGTGTGTGTATGTCCTTGCATGGGCATGCAGGAAGGAGCATGTCGTGTCCTTAAGTAATGGCATAAGTTAATTCTTTTACTCCTTTCCCATCTTATGTTGAGTCATTTTTTAACTCTGTATTTGCTGTTAGAGAATTATCTGTTTTGAAGCAATGGTTGTGTTCACTTCAATCTGACTTAATTTTATGTTGCCATTGGAGGGAATGATAATATGTTTTGCAAGTCCTTTCAACTCACCTTCCTTGTGCTGGCACTGTGTCCTGGGGTCAGCTACAGCAGTCATTTTTTTCTCCTCCTTAGTAGCTGGGGCAGTGCTGTGGTTTTGACTTTCAGCCTGGGAACAACGCTGATAACACCGATGTTTTTAGTTGTTGCGCAGTAATGTTTACTCTGACCAAGGACTTTCTCAGTCTCATGCTCTGCCAGAGAGGAGGGGAAGCCGGAAGGAAGCAGAGACAGGACACCTGACCCAAACTGGCCAGAGGGCTATTCCATACCACAGCACGTCATGCCCAGTATATAAACTGGGGGGAGTTACCCAGAAGGCCCAGATCGCTCCTTGGGTCGGGCTGGGTATCGGTCGGCGGGTGGTGAGCGGTTGTGTCCTCTCCCCTTGTTATTTCCCTTATCATTATTGTTATTGGTGGTAGCAGCAGTGGTTTGTATTATACCTTAGTTACTGGAGAGCTGTTATCTCAACCCGTGGGAGTTACATTCCTCCGATTCTCCTACACATCGCTCTGGGAGCAGGGGGAGGAAGAAGAGGGAGAGTGAGCAAGTGGCTGCATGGTTCTGAGTTATTAGCTGGGCTTAAACCATGACACACTGACAGCCATGCAGACAGCCAGACTAGGGAGCTAACATGTAAGAACCTAATCTGACCCTGTCCAAAATATACGGGCCAGCAAAAAGAACATAACAAGAATAATTAACTGTGGGATTGGGGTGGGGAAGGAATCTCTTTCTATGATGCAACTAAACGAATGTGTATTCTTCTATTTCCCTGCTTTTTTGTTGATGTGGGTTGTTGTGCTGCATCCTATCAGGTGGGAGTAGGGCTAGAAAGGGTCAAATGAAAGTGGTACAGTGGTTCATTCAAGGATTAAGTATTTAGTCTCAAAGGCCTCTGTCATGATCTGAAAAGGAAAAATCTAATAAATTATAGCTTTGGAACCTTTTAAATGTCTACATGAAATTTGTCATGGTCCTTGGTCAGCTGTATTATGAATTCAGGACTGAGAGTAGGATATATTAAATTTTTATTTCACTGCTCATCTGTCCTTTCTCTGCACATGCAAGAGCTACAGACTAATTTCCTAGAAGAAGAACTGTAGGCAGTTTAAACCTGTATGATCAATACTGCACATGACTTCAGAAAATGAGCCTAAATATGAAGCTTGAGTACAGTGCTGAACTGCATATTCTGGTAATGAATTTAATTCAGAATCTGAAGACCAATAAACACACAGCTGCCAAATGAAATTCAGCCCAGCAGACCTTAAGTGGAAACTTTGTCAGTTGGACAGAGAAGCCCTTGTACATCAAATTTCTTCTACTGGAGTGAGTGATGGATTTCGTTTACCCCAAAACATGTTGTTTGGTTAGCTGTTGTAGTGTCAGAAAAATTGCAGAACTGTTTCTCCTTACCATAGACATGGTCTTCTTCAGGAATCAGAGTCTTTGTCCGTTCCCTGCTCCATCTATCCCTACCATCTCTTCAAAAGTAAAGATAAAAATAATGTGAAATTGCTGAACTCGTAACTTGTAAATATGCATCTTATTTTCATTTGAGTAACTTACAACAAATGAAAAATAACATTGTCATCATCTGTTTGAATATGCAAGGTGTGATATTTAGGAAACTGAGTGAACTGTTGTAAGGTGGAAATGTTACACGAGGGTGCAAAGATGTGAAAGGATCATAATGAAATAACCAGAAGCTAACTGATCGTCCAGACCATTCTGTTGATAAACATGACATGAGTGGAAAGAGATATAGCTCATTAGACATTTTCCTATTTTGAATTACCTAAAAGGAGGCATTTCACTAAGAATTGTAGCAGCTAGACACTAGACAAGTGACCTGTATAACCTTCTAGCATTCAAATAGGAATAAGTTGTACAGGTTAATTACATATTTTTATGGAGAGCAATTGCCTATTGTTTTAATTTTGCTGGCTTTATTTACAATTTCTTTCTTCTTTGGTAAGAGACAGCAGTATCTATCTTCCCTTCCTAGATGCCCATTTCATAGATGTCTGTCATGTTCCTCATTGGAGTTCGGATTTATTTAGTCATGTCTAGTATGGAAGCTACATTGACCACCCTTGTTGCCCTTTTTGAACATTTTTTAGTTCTTTGTTTCTGTTTGGAATAAGGGGAGGGGAGGAAGGATTTAAAACTTGGATTTCTTTGTATAGAAGCATGATTTCTAAGCTTTTAGCTTGTTACCGACTATTAAGTTAGTGGTTTGGTAGATTTTTAATAATCCCAAAATTTTTTTTTTTGAATACTCATGACAGTTTTGGAGTAGTTACGAGTTCTGAGTAGTTTTGATCAGCTCAGAGCTCATCACTTCATGAAGTTGGCAAGTGCATCACTTTACATGTCACTGTATGGGATTTCACCTGTCCACATTTTTGTATGGTATACTAACCTCTACAGTATTACCCACATTAAACTGTAGGTGTTTTTTCTATAGCTGTTTTGTTATGAAATTTTGCTTTAGTCTTTCTTAAAATTATAAAGTTATGCAAAGATACAGCAGTGAACATTTCTTTGAATTCCACAGCTTTTCTGTATCTCTTGTGCACATTAATTCTGTGGGAATGGCTAGTTAAAACACAAAGCTCCTGTAAAAATTCAAATTCTTTCTTCATGCTGGAATTCAACATAATGTATGGTATTCACATCTACGTCCTCTCACTGTATGCTGATGATTGTGAAAGACTGATCCATTCATTTCCATGAGGGTTGCAGCATTTGACTAAAATACGGGTCAGCTCTCTGTTAGCGTTCATCATCCTATATGCCTGCTGGAGACTTCTCTGAAAATCTTTGAAGTACAGAAGTGAGTTTCTATAAATAAAAGCATTTTCCTTGTACACCTATACATTTTTTTCAGTTTACCTAGTCAGGCAGTAAGAAACTCCACGTATTTCTTATTTAGAATACTTGAGCAGAATTTCCTTTTTTTTTTTTTTTTTTTTTCCTGCAAGTAAGTTGAAAAGCTTGAACTATGCAGAATAGTTTTTGGATAATGAAAAGGCATCACAAGGTTAACATGTGTCACTGACTGAAAACAATCTGTGATCTGTGCATCTCATGGCATGTTCCGTGAAGTTAAGTTTCTTGCTTAGTGCCAGGCCCACTTTTCAGGTTGAAGACGGCAGCTTTCCACTCTCACCACAAATGGCTGATCAGCGCTGTCTGTATGAAAGAGTTTCAGGGAAGTTGTCCTGTTACATTCAGAAATTCTTGAAAAGCCCATGATAGGAATTGAAAAATTCCAGTTCTGTTTTCAGCTCACATATGACTAGTTTATGTCCTATTCTAGCCTTCTAGAAACAGATTCTGAAACTTCAAAATAACTTCCATATGGAAACTTGCCACTGGATATGGTCATGTTTTAACATTGTATGCATAGATGCCAATCTCTTCACCGACTGCTGTGCTCCAAACAGCTGCAGTTAGTATTTTTACTGTATTACTAGCATCTTATTCTGGAAAAGCTAGTATTCTTAGATCATTTCTACTTAGACTTAACGTGTCTATACACTGCTTAACTAGGCTTTCAGGAAGCAGAAATAATCACAGAGTCTGAATAACCCAGGAAAAATCATAAATCAAACCAGGAGTCTAAGCATTATGAAGTTAAGAAAAATTATCCATGGATAATTAATGAATTTAGGCTGTGGATGAACCATATAAAAAGAATTCTTCTCAGAAAATAAGTTACGAATGTTACATAGATGATTGATAATTGCTATAAATGATGATAACTTCTTGAGCTAGATCAGAATACTTTTCCTATATTTAATGTTTCGGTGATCAAGGTTTTGTGTGTTACTACTACTACCAATAATTTTGAATATTGCTGGAGCTGCTAATTCTGTTTTACCTTCATAGATATATTTTCAGTTATCTAGATCTGAACATTCCTTGGGCTATCAATATTAGGTACTTTTGCTGCTATGTAGCAACATCTTAGAATTCAATTCTGCTCTGTGTAGTACTCCCCAACTAGTGAAGATTCCTACATGATATATTACTCCATTAGAGTTGCTGTCATCTCAAACCTAATATATTTTAACTGTTTAGAGTATGGCAAATAATTCTTGCAGTATTAATTCCTTCAGTAAGAATAAAAAAATATTTCTCTTTTTTTCATAATGAAAGACTAATCTTATAGAACATTGATGTATCTCGACAGAACTTCTTGTCTGAGTCTTGATTAAAAACTTGTGGTTTTCTTCTTCCAGCTAATTCTATATCCTCTCTCTTTTCCGCTGTATTTTTGACAGAATGTTTATCTCTGCTTTTTAAACAATGATTTTGCTTCACTTAAGAGGATAAGAGCTATAGTTTCCTTGCTGTATAGGGATCTTTTGAAATAAATTCTAAAGCATATCTGTTTAGTTTGAGATTTTTCTTCTTTAGGAACAGAGGTTTCTAAGCAGCACATCCTCTGCTTGGTAGTTGTTTCAAAACAGAGATTAATAATGGACATAAGTTTTGATTATTGACATGTAGAATTTATTGTGTACTTTGGTAAATCAGTGCTCTTCCTTTTCCTGCAAAATGTTTAGCGCAATCTGTAATTCTGTCAAATACACTTGATTATTCTACCTCCTAAACTTTCTTTAGTTGTAAACAGCACATTTCACGGCTGCTAATGACTAACAAATCTGTACACACTCCAAATTGATTATGAGAGATTAAATCTGTTTACAATCTATGAATCATTATTGCTTGGGAGGAAAGAGGGGAACAAAAAAAGGAAAGCTTAAAATAATCATGGAAGCAATTTCCTATGGGAAGTGTTTTCCCCACTGGATTTGTATTTTCTAAATATGTGGCAAGACAACACAAGTGTGCATTTCTTTTAAAAAGTGTAAATAGTTTTCCCTGAAGTTGATATAATGTCATTTGGGTTGCAAAATGATGATGACCGTAACTTATTGTGTGGATTGTAGATGATATAAACTGTTGTAGAGAATAAGGTATTAATTTTTGGTGGTTAGTGTTCATAACTCACATTAAGTGTTTGGTATAGCAAACTGTTACATCTGAGGAAAAGAATATGTTTCTTTTAAAGCGATTGAGTTCTTTGAATATAATTTGTTTAATACCAACTTCAATCAGTGTTTCACTTCTTGGAAAGTTACTCTTCTGTGTACGTACAACAAATAAAATGTGTGCAATGAATACTACTACACAGCGATTGATACAGGAATGCAGACATCCTGTGCAAGTTATTCAGATGGTTTGGCACTGTTCTTAACTATGACTATTTGTGATGCTGATTTACTTACTATTTGTTCATGTTTTTAACAGGAAGACAGTGATCCAGCAGTTCATGAAAGCCTAAGCATAGAAAATACGTTATGGGCAAGCACTGTTGTTGCCTCAGGTAAGAGTTACGATAGCAAAGCCAATAATGTATCTAAAATTTTCATTCTCACAGTATGAAATATTAATGGCTTTTGAAAATCTTTTCGCCTCCCAGCCTGTTCATCTCTCTCTTCTCTCTTGTCTGCCCTCCCATCGGTTCCATCATGCTACCCACAATATTTTCATACCTTTTTAATCCTCCTTAACAGTTTTCTTTGGAGGAAGGGGGGAAAAGTAAAAAAAAATGTTCTCCATCCAACTTGTGAAGTTGGTCCCTACTATGAAGGCTTCTTACATCAATGCAGGGCCTGCTTGAGGGTTGTGGGGAAGAGTTCAATGTTGAGGAGGTGGCAAAGAGTCTGTGACTGAACATTCCAGAGTGTGAAAACATAGCCATGCTCTTTGATGCTCAGTGTTGTTGGGTTTGATTGCACTGGGAAACTAGTTTTTCTGTCAAATGAATGATGCCTAAAACTGTTCTCAGATTTTTAACTTAAGTAGCCACAACCTGTAACTGCATGTAAAAAGATGCTACTCGTGAATTATAAATTTCAGTGCAGTGTAAATTTGAGTTTGTTTTTCCCCGAAGTTACATGTAAGAGGGGAAAGCTACACTCAAAGAGTACATGTTTGCAAAGTCAGAAATTCTGTATCAGTAATTTTGAATTTTAATTGAAAACAGTTCATGTTTTCATTTCCAGGATTGATCATTTGATTTTGTTTAGAAGTTTAGCTAATTCCTGAGGCTTCTGGATCTGCATCTAAAGTTGGCACCCAAATTAATGGAAACAGTGCTCCTTAAAATTTATGCTGTAGCATATGTTTGGGGTTTTTTTACTTCTGAAGGATCTTGTGAAGGTTTTATCATTTATGAAGGACTTAGGCTCACTAACAATGATAGTAGTAGAAAATCTTGGGAGAAAATAATTCTCTTGTTGGAGCATGGTTTTGAATAGTGGAATAAGTCTCTAAGGGAGACTGGATGATATAAAGTAAAGTTATTGAATGGCTCTTCAAGACTGCATGCAGCCCCTTCTGAAGGGAAAAATAACTTGTGATCAAGTAATTAAAAATGGTGTTATGATGTGCATACACAAGTTGGTTAAATTAAGGTAGCAGAGTGAAACTATTTCCTACAGTAAATGATTTGTGACATTAATTATATCTTCTAATAAAAACGTTGGCATATCATTGATTTCACTTATGTCATATCATGTATTAATTACAGTTTAATACTGTCATAATGTGCTTCTCTCGTGAAAGTACTGCCGTTATGAAGCATGTAAGATTTCTGTTTAGATATTTGCTCATTCTATATGGTATCATAAATCCAGATCCTAAGAATTACTCATTGCCTCTGTGGAGGTAATTTTAGCATTTGACAGGACTAGACCTTTAACAAAGAGGAGGAAATTACGGCCTTCAGTCTCTTGCTTATCAGATAATGAATTTTTAAGGTCTTATAGGTGCACTGTGCATATAGTCATGAAGAAGACCATAAGGCAAAATAATTAGCAGTTCGTTAAGATGTTCTAGATTTAGCTGATAACTGATGTGTCACAGTTGTTTTCATCTCACTTCCAAGTACATAGCTAAGTTAAGATACTTGATGCTAGCTAATTAAATTTGACTTTTTGTAGGGTTTTTTTTTTGTGGTCTTGTTTTGTGTTTTTTTGGGGTTTTTTTTTGGTTTGTTTGTTTTTTTTTAATTAGACTTCAGAATTGAATTACTGAGATTTGTGACAACTAAAAATCTTGTTAATAAAAACACTTGTCACTGTCTGACTGTGTGATAAACATCTACAAAGCGCCTTGCTTAAAGCCTGCCATGGCAGGGTATCAGAGATGGACTCTGCTTACACAAGTTTACAGGCACTTCTGCATCCCCTCCGGTACCATGGCCTATCATAGTCCTTGAATATATATGAAAAGTTTAGTGGAAGATACTGCTTGCCCACAACCTCTGCAGACAAGTGCCACTCAGATTCCATGAAAACAGAAGAATAAACAGCCAGCAGCATATCAAAGTCTGCTGTTTTTCTACTCCATAGATAGCTAGCTCACCTCAGCCACGCTTATATCCATTTCAGACTCCTTACTGTCTAGGCTCACAGTTCTATTATGTGCAGGAATCTTTGACTCAGAAGTGTAAGATGTCTATGCACAAGCCTAATCTTGTATTACTTTGCAACTTTGATTCAAGAAAGTGGGTTTGTAGGCTGTGCCCAGATGGTAGGAGGTAGAATTCTACCCTGCAACATTGCCTGCATAGCTCTTCATTCACTAGAAAACTCTTCAGTATGGCAGTCTTTACAGCATCCTAGCTTGGAAGGCTGCTTCCTTCAGTGCTCCTTTAAGCAGCCCGGACACCATGTTACTAAGCCAAGGAAATATGTGCCTTATTGCTATTGGGACTGTGTTATGCCCTTGCGAATCCCTTGGGGGTTGTTACAAAGCATTCTGGGTCAACTTGCACTTCTATCTTGACCTATTACTGACTGATGCTCTCAGCCTTGGGGGTGGATCAGGGAGCTACATCACTAATGCCTGGGATTGTAGCTGAGTCTCAGATACAAAGCCTTATTTAATTTGTCAAAGGTATTGCGTAGGACATTCAGGGCAATTGTTTGGCGAGGGAGTTCTCCTTCTAATTTTCCTCTTTCCAGTGATTAAATATATGCTGAATTTCCTGATCTTCCCTTTGATATGTTACATAAAACACACTGCATCATCAGCTAGGAGAGCCCACTGTCTCCAAGACACATGCTGTTGCTATTTGTCAAGGTGATACGGAGGGCCAAGGTCAGGCTAAGAAAAGTGTTTGGGGAATTATGTGGGGAATACCTTGGAAAACTTGAGCTCTGGTTGCTGATGTCTTGACAGTTCTAGTGGAGAGAGACCACAAATCAATTATCTTTGCAGATCAGTAACAGTAAATGTAACTGTATAAAGGTCTCAAGGAATCTTTCCAACTACATGTTGAGTGCAAATTACCAAAGCTCAGGAAAGTATCAGGATACTACAGTAATGGATTCTACAGGGAAAAAAAAAGAAAGAAAAAAGAAAAGTCTATTGCTAGGGAGTACAAGTAACAAGAAAAATATTCTCTATAATTTTAAGACTATTTTTTTTTAATTTTGGGAACCACAGAATTGGTTTAACAAAATCATGTAGTGTCAGACAACTCAAGCTATTCCACAGCTTTTTTTATATCAACAATTAAAGTTCAGGAGAGTGAGATTTCTCAAACTTCTACATTTGGAAGGTGCTTACTTTCCTCTGTTTCAATATGTCTCCTTACCCCTAAAGCTAAATAGAAAAAAAAATGCTAAATGGAAAAAAAAAAATAAATTACCATTTTGTCACACCTAATATATGTTATATACCTACATGAGCTAGTTTTAGAATTGATAGCTTAGGTACCTAAATGGAGATTCTAACTGCTACCAAATCTGAGGTGCTTTCTGCCTCTTGCTGTAAAGCCCTGACATAAATTTGGTGCTGTGTATGATGTTTATCCTAACCACAAAAACTACAAAGGCTAATTTGGCAGCGTCACAGTGGAAGCTTCTGGAAGGGCTGGAAATTAAAAGCCCCTCTCTCAAGTCTGAAGCATGCAGCCATCCTTTTGTTACGCTTTCAGAAGTGAGATAGGAAAAAATATTCTGACTCTTCCACTTACAGGCAACAACCCAGTGAGTTTCAGAAAGGTAGCAGCAAGGTATGGAGTCTTATGTGCCATTCTTAATATCTATATTATTGCTATGGAATTAATAATAGTGCCTGAAAGGAAGGTTTGGTTAGTGAAAACTTTAAAAACTTATCACTGAAGAGACAACTTTAAATATAACCAAGTAATTTAAACCACTAAGTATTCTGAAAATATCTTCTGTTATCTTTAATTAAATTATTCTCAGATCATTTGTGTCCGTTGCATTACTGACTGTGGTGTTTGTTTGTTGAAAGCTGTTTCCTTTTGGAAACAGAGAGGAAAGTCAGTGATAAAAATTTAAAAAGCCTCAAAAGGTCCACTACAGTATGGACTTTAACTTTTTGCTCTCCATTTACTGTAATGATTAGTGTGGTTCAAACTCCAAACAAGATAATGCAATTTTCTGAGACCTGCTGAGATATCTATTAAGGGGACATTTGTATTAATGGAATTTTGTGTTCAGGTGTCAGTCTTTCAAAGTCACTTTAGATAAAATCAGAACAATTTGTATAACTTCACAGCTGTAAAAAGCACTATTTTGTGCCAAGGCCTACACACAAATTTAATTAATTTTGAGCTCCCTCTTGTTTTTGTATGGTTCACATAGTGCCTGGGATCATACACCAGATTCAGAGCATGCATGAATACTTGGCGTGTGCCCATTCTGCACAAGTGCTCTTTTGCATCTTTTCCAGGCCCACAACTTTATGCTAGTAGTATCTCCTGTAGCTTCTCTGTCTGTTGGCCACTCTGCCCTTACCAGTCAGAGGTTGCCTGGTTTTGCACGGAGGCCCATACATACAAATACTTGAGTCATTGCTTTTAATAAGAGCAGGCTTTTAGTACAGCTATGCTTCCAGGAACTCCAAATTGGATTCAGTTCCTTCTACTGTGGGCAGGGCACAGTTTAGTGCAAGTATGCATCTTTCTTCACAGCTGGTAATAAGCTTAGATTTGCTGAGGATAATGAGGGAGAGTAGTGGGTAAAAACCCCATCCAGAACACCAGAACTCTCCCTGGTGCAGTGCTATGGGACAACACTAGAATTAGTCTTTGAGTTCCCTGTACTGATTTCTAAGAAGCGCTAGGTTTAACAGTGATATTGTGCTAGTGACTAACATCCTCAAAACTTTCAAATCAAAGATCAACACCGTAGTGAAAGAAGCAGCTCAGTCAGATTTAGCTAAAATTATGATCAAAATTCATCAGAATGGATTTTATTCAACTTTCACCCTTGAAACCAACTTTTCAAAGAGCAAAATAGAGACAGGTAGGACAGCATGTTCTCCTGAGCTGCAGCAGCCCAGCCAGGTGAAATTTAGTGGAAAGCTGCCAGCTGGAACAGAGAAGTCCTCCCTAGCTTTTACTGAACTAAGGACCTACAAAAGCAGAGATTGTTGGGGTGTGCAGGAGCAGATTCCCTACACGGTGTTATCCAGTATATTCTGTTGGACAAAGGTCAGCTTAGAGGATCACCTCAAAATAGTGTGTCCCAAAGACATAGGGGCATTGGCTGGAGACCAGTAGAAAGAGTTCAGAATTATGGATCAATGACTATTACAAAAGCCAAGAGGAATTTTGGGGTATGTTGGAGGCATATTACCTCCATTTTAATGTGCAGATTTGCATGTAGAACGTGTAAGCAGAGGCAAACTATCTTTGGGGAAAATGTTGTATCAAGGGAATTGTTAAGAAAAAACTCTAGTACGGAGAAGAAAATAATAGGAGAAACTAATTTTTTATCATCCAAAACATGTAATGTATAGTCCCTGGTGTTTTGTATGTGGACTCTTAAGTTTTCACTTTTATGCTCATTTTTCAGTAAATGAAACTTCCTTTCTTTAATGCCAACATCTTTAACTGTCATCTTTTTTCTTTGTGTGTTCCTTCAATTTTTTATGACCCGTTACACTACAAGAGTAGTGATAGCAGATCTTGCATGTGGTCCTGATTTCCAAAGACTAATTAAATTAATGTCTGATGTATGTGTAATATTTCTGCAGTTTTTGAAGTTTTTTGAGCAGGGTGTTTCTGACATGTTAATTATTTCTTTATAGCATAAAGCCAACAAGAAGTAGTATTGGTAGTACTAAGTAAGTACTGCCATAAAGCCATTTCAGGTCACTTGAAAAAGTAGTAGAAATAAGGGAGTTGTTTTGTGCTATGAAGTGTGATAGTGGCAGATTAATAAAAAACTAAGTTTTTGTTTAATACAAAAATTTATTTAGTAATACTGAAGCCATATTTTACTATGCCATGCAGTAAAAATTGCCTGAAAGATAATTGGAACTGGGGAATCATTTTTATAAGTTAGTGAACAGGAGTTTGTATGGGATTCTATCAAGATAGTTAATGGAGTGAGGTAGATTTTTACATCATAATAGATGACAAATATACCAGGCTATTTGTGTGTGATGCCTTCATTGTACTCATTTTTGTATTGCTTGTGAAAGGCTGTTATGCTGTGCATTAACTTCTGAAAACAGTTGGAGACTATTTTAAGTTAAAATATAAGTTTTTAAGCAGTTACAATGAAAGGGAAGCATGTTGTAATTTCTTTAATTAACGCTCGCAGAAATGACAATGATCCTTCATAGTCACTTCTGGAAAAAAACATTCACAATACTATGGACATTGCATAAATGTTTGGGCTTTTCCATAAGTTTATTTGTTTGAGGGACAGTAAATTACCACAAGCATTATTTCAGTCAGATTTTCTCTTAACTACTTAATGTCCCTCGAGACATTAAAGGCCAGGCTAAATGTAGTTCTGGGCAACCTGATTTAGTTGAAGATGTCCTTCCTCATTGCAGGAGGGTTGGACTAGAGGAGCTTTAAGGTCCCTTCCAACCCAAACTATTCTGTTATTCTGTGATACTTGACACCTCTGCTTTACTTTTTGTTTGTTTGTTTTTCAGGAACTGTAATTGGTGTTGTCATTTACACAGGCAAGGAAACTAGAAGTGTATTGAACACATCCAATCCAAAAAATAAGGTAATTTAGCTTTTCTGTGGGATTTCCTATTTTTGTTTTCATAAAACTTAAAACCAGATTTACCTAAACCAAAAAATCTAGAAGTTTGAAATGAGAAATCCATGCTTGGAAGCGGTCTAGTGGAAGCTGTCCCTGCCTAAGCACGAGTGTTGGAACTTCAAGGTCCCTTCCAACCCAAACCATTCTATGATTCTAAGTCAATTCTGCTTCAGTCTCATTTCAGAAGTAAAATTATTCTTCCTTTAGTTAGGAGTGTTACAAGTACTAATGGGAATATTTGTCTTTTATGTATAAATGCACATCTTCAGGCTTTTATACTTCTGTCTCACAGCTAAATGTTAATTCTCACTTCACTTAGATTATTTTACTGTAAAGTATTTGGCTAAAGCTTCCCAGTGGTTTTAAGGAATGTTTATAACAGGTTACTAAAATGTACTCGGTCTCCCAGAGGAAGTTGAGCAAGGTAACTGCGATTCCAGTCAGGACCCAGAACACTCTTCCAGGGGTTTTTGTAAGCAATGAGAACATTATCAGGAAATTTGTCTGTGGAAAAGATACCAGAAGTTTGAGTGCCTCCCTCTGTATGAGGTTCTTTCAGTTCAAAACAAAGCAAATAGCTCTTCGTTTCATTGGTAATGTTTCTAATGTGAGTTGGGGAGGGCCCTCAATTATGGAGAAATTAAACTTCAGTTGTAGGCTGTATCTTACAACCTAAACCTGTGTTTAGTACCAAGATCCTTAATTATATTAAGAAAGGAAAAAATTCTTGCAAGAGGTTTATAAAAAAATCAATTGTGACAGGTTGCCATTTTCACACCATTCATAGTAAGTTGTTCTGAGTAGGAACATCAAGAATGAAATGATAATACAAATTGCTTGAAGCAGTTATTGCAGTCCCCTGAGTGTATTGATTTGTGTTTCTAATAAAGAGATGCTTTTAAATGTCTCATTGGCAGAGACAGGTAATATGTACCATTATGTGGATTAGGATGGCCTTTTATTATTTAATCTTTGTAATATATGTTTTAAAATAGAGTAAAATGAAACCAGAATGCTTATAGTGCATAATTATTTCCTCTTCCATCTAATACAAAGATGAGCCATTTAGTAATTTCTCTTAGAATTCTGAACAACTTCTTCCTAATAAATAATTCTCACAAGTGTTTAAAAGGAAAAATTATAGTAAATTCATTGGGGAGGATGCATAAATCTAACACTCTTTACCCAGATTCAACTGATTCTGAAGGTATATTAGATTTTTAGTAAATGCTTGGTTTTTCTGGGTTTTTTTTTTTGCGTGAACATTTCACACAAGAAACTATGATAAATTGTAAAAGGATTTGTGTTTTAATTTTCCCTGATGTTTTCACAATTACTAGTAATACTAAGTAGTTACTCCATATTTTCATCAGCAAAATATTAAGTAGCAGATAAACCTACAAATATAAGATCCAGCAGCATGTTGACAAGCTGCAGCATGGCTTTTACTATTATGCCAAAATAGTATCATCTTTGCATAATACTTTAATGTTACAGCTGCTAACAATTAAATACTGTGTTCTTTTATCTACAGTGGGAAACTAAATAATATTTTCATTAAGCACTAAGAAGCAAAATATTACATACACATACACAAACTAACAGAGGCAAATCCAAATTCTTTGGCATATATTGCATTATCTGTATATGAACACTATCTAAAATAATTAGTTTAGGAACAGTTCAGGGCAGGTTTAGACTGGACATGGGAAAGCATTTCTTTACCAAGAGGGTGGTCAAACACTGGAACAGGCTTCCTAGAGATGTGGCTGATGCCCCAAGCCTGTCAGTGTTGAAGACGCACTTGGACAATGCCCTTAGTAACAGGCTTTAACTTTTGTTCAGCCCTGAATTGGTCAGGCAGTTGGAGTAGATAATCTTTGTAGGTCCCTTCCAATTGAAATAGTCTAGTCTAATTAGAAATCATACTTTTAAATATCATTTTACCTGCCACTGATAAAACAGGTCATGCTTGTGTAACTAAACTGTACTCATTAATTTCCAAGGAGTCATGTTCAGTATTCTGAATATTTATATTCATTTTTAACTTGAAGGTGCTTGTATGTGTTATTCTATGCTAGTTAACCTTGCAGCAGGTAGACAAGCAGTAGTCAGTTCGCTTCTCCTCTGTGTATTTGGGAGAGGGAATCTTCCTGTGTTTTCTCAAGCTTGATAATAATAATCAGATGTTGGCTAGGGAATGTAGCATTAGCAGGCAGAAGGATGGCAAAAGGAGTCTAAAATAGTCTTTGAAATTAAAAGATTATTACAGTTGAGGGGTTACAGATTCAAACATTAAAAGAAAAAATAAACCTGTACCTAACTGTCGCTGAAACAAAATTGAAATTAAATTTAGCAATTGTGGTATTGCAAACTTCAAGAGGAAAGAAGTCTGCCCCCTCTTCTGCTTTAGAGAACTGTTCCAAATACTATTTGGAACTGGGTTTAAGTGGCAGACTGTCTCTCTTTGCTACACTTTGAAAACAATAAAAATAACACTAGAGATTTTCTTGCAGAATGTGTTGATATGCTCGTTAGTAGTTCAGTGATGCTCATGTCTTCTGGCTGTAGGAGAAAGCAAATACTGAGATCTCTAATTCTCAGTTTACATTGCTGAACTTCAGTGTCCAGAAATAAGAAATAAATATATGGGCCTGGCTCTTTTACCATTCCTCTCTTCATTGAAATACAGATTGATGCTTCAGTTGTATTTCTTGCTGGAATACAAAATTGCTGCTGTGCTTTGTACTACAAACTCAGTTTTTCTAACAGCAAACTTTTGGTTTTCCTGCTTAAGGATACATGCTTTTTGACTAAACGAATATTGAAATTTAGAGGTGCAGACCTGCTCTATAAACATAGAGCAGAAGACTAAAACTGAAAGAGGTTTAAGCAAACTTAGATGTGAAGAAGTGATATGGGTGTACCTGTTCAAGCATGTGTTTTTTCTGTATGTTAAACTGAGAAGGAGTTATTGTGTTTGCTGAAGTATTTAGTCATTCAGACAACCATTTTCTTAACTTAAAGTCAACACTTAGTTGTTTTATTATAATTATAAAAATGGTTTCATTGCCTAAGGATGCAGACACGGTCTGAAAAACACAAAGATAGAGAGAAGGGAATTTTCTTAATGGATCAATTCGATATGTTTTTAATTCCAAACAATATAAAGAAAAAATATTTCTGACAAGGTTTAATTTCAGTCTAAAATGATATATGTTCTGTGCTTTAGATGAATGTAGAAATGGTAGCAGCAACATTATTATAGTGTGATGACTCTGCATTTAACCTCATTGGCAGTCACAGCAGCTTACTCAGGAATGCAGTTCCAGCCTTTAAAGAAAAAAAAAAAATCAGATTGAATTGTGCTCCTCACAATGCTGTAATCAGTAATCAATCTTATTTGGATAGATATTCTTAAACCTTGGCTTTCTGGATGAAGTTGGACTTGTCAATGCTAAAGGTCATTTATAGGTGTTAATTAACCAAGAGGGAAATTAACGAACTAAGGTTATTTATTCATTTTGTCTGGCATTTTGCAGTATTCTCATTCTTGCCTATTTAAAGTACAGGATACTTTTTTGTTATCTAAATTTAGAATTGGTTTTGCGGTTTAGGTCCTTATAGAAAGCAAGATTGTTACCACAGTCCTTCAGTAAATGATTTGTTTCCATTGGTGGCAACAGATTTTGGACGTGCAGTTGAACACAATATACTTGGAGGGAGACAGAAATATATTCAAGGAAATGTATTTTGTGTACTAAGATTGAAACATCAAAATTACTTGGACTATGCAATATATATATGCACAATCAAAATATACACAGTAATGCATCAAAATGAGTAGAAATAAATATAACTCCTGAGAAAACAGTAGCCTCTGTAAAGGAGCTGCAGCATGTAATCTGCGTAGTGTGCTTCAGATTAGTACAAAAATAGTTTTTATGTTGCTAATCCTTACAAGCAGCATTCAGAACTCTTTTTGCCTCCCTTCCCCAATTATGGAATTCTGCATCTGCTGTTATGTTTTAACATCAGAAGTAAAACTTCATAGTAACCATTCAGTGCTCATCAAAATAGTAATGTTTTTTCCCTAATTCTTAACTAGCCCGAAAGCTAAATACTGCATGTCTTGTGGTTGGTGCTTTGCTGATTTTTATTTTTTTTTAAAGTTGTTTGTTTTAAACACACGAAAATCTAAGAACTGGTATATTGGTTTTCTTCTTTCCTGTGTGTGTTGCCCTAGGTTATTGAAAATGGCCTCACTGGTGACCTGCAAAGTAATAAAAAAATATTTCTATTCTGGTAAAGTGAAGCAAAAATTCACTTTTCTCTATCCTCCCACAAAACTTCTCTTCCTAGTGTTTTGTGACCACATTTACTTTTCTACATTTAAAAGGCTTCCCTATGTTTGTCCTTCTCTCTCCCTATGTTATGGGAATATTTTTTGAAAAATATTTCCTAAAAAAAGGACACCCACCATCCATTTCTCTATTTGCAGTGAAAGAGAGCGGCTGGAGCAGATTTATGTCTTCTCAGAAGTTGATACCACTTTGCCAATTTACCTGTTCAGCATAGCATTTTCTGTACTCAGAATACATACTTTGCCTGCCTTGATGCACTCTTTTGAACAACCTTAAATTTGATAGTCCAGCATGTTGTAGTTTAATTAGTAAGCCATTCTTACCTGTTCCACCTCAACGGCTGACATTCATGAGTCTGACTAAAATTTCTGTTCATGAGTACCTATCTTAACTTTAGTAACTCTTCAGTATTACACCACAAGTCTTCTCCGTAACAGAAGTAGAATAACATTGTCAATCCTGTTTGTTGGTATAGGCAGAGGGAAGAAAACACCCCATGAAATCCCCTATCAGAGAACACAAACAACTTGCTGTTACCTGAAGAGCTTCAGAAGGGCCTTAGAAATGTGTTGACTTTATCCTGCTGCTATACTGTTA